ACATGAACACAAGCATCTAATATAGTTATCTTAATCATTAGAAGTAATCACTTTACAAAAATATAATCAATGGTACGGAGGTAATAAATTAGGTGTGATCTGTGCGAAAAAATATTTTCTTGTCAAATTTTATCGAATATAATGCATGAGATTTATCTAAAATAAAAGCCATATGTTGTCACCTACACTCTACAAGAGCATATATAATATATGAATATTATAAGATTTATTTTTATGGATCCAAAAGGGGGAACAATTAAATTTTAAGTGATTATAAAGTATTAAGTATTATGTATGTGATATCTAATATATTGTATATATGTGATTAAATTTACTAATTGGTTTGACTGGTTAGCAGTGTCTAAAAGCAAAACCAACAAGCTAAAAAGTGTAATAAAACCAAACTAATTATCAAAATTAACCAAATCTAGTTAAAATAATTTATCGTTTAAAATGTTTACCAAAGTAACAACTCTATTTGAACACCCATATTATTGGAGACCCACAAAAAATATTTTTCTCAGGGTGAATAGCAGTTTATACACTTGTACTATTGCAATTTAACAAAAATATTCTCTATTATTTTTTGCACTTGTGTACCCTTCTATTATCACATAGTAATTAATATATCATTCTGTCAAAACTTTCAATAATTTTTTTTCCGATGAATGGGTGGAATCTTATTCATCAAACACAATCAAGTACAATTACAATAGACAAGTTGTAGCAAACCCGTCACTAGCCCGCTACAAAACAATAACCCAGAACCCAAAGGAAACCAGATCTACTTTTGTAGTAATTGAACACTACAACAAGACTGCATTTTTGTACCACAAGGATTAATTGGATCATAGTCGATTCATCAAACCTAAAATCTCCTATCTCTTTAGCTTCCATCACTCCCTGCATCTTCTTGACAAGCTATCTCACCAATAGCTGTTTTCCACCATAGACTCTCCCGCATCGTTCTCGCCAAACCTCGTTCAACACTAGACACCAAAGGACTCTGCCAACCAAACAATTACTGAGGCACTGAGTTGCTGAAATCACCGCCTGCTGCAAGTTATGAAAAATCGAGAGCTGCCATTACGAGGGGAACACAATGCTCCACACTTCCTGCACATAGTTACATTGAAAGAAAAGATGCTCTTTTGACTCTAGCTCCTGTCTACAAAGAGGGAAAATAGCTACTACTTCAGGATTCCAACGTTGGACAACATCCAGGGTAGTAATGCGCCCCAAGAGAATCAACCATGTAATAGTAGAATTCTTAGGAATACCACCCTTCCAGACTAACTTAGACCACCCCACAATTTCACCTCTCGGCCTGAAACTCTGCCAAACTTTACTGATTAGAAAACTGTACATCTGCTCACCTTCCCACTCCACCCCTCTATTTGTTCTGCACAGCTTCCTTGCAAAATCACCTCTCAGTTTAAGAATCTTATTCCATACCCAAGACCCTCCAGTTTTCACTTCCCAGATACTCAAGTTACGAAGACGATACTCCTTAATCCAGGCTATCAAGTCTGTCCAGGTCAGAGAGTTTGCCCCAGATATGACGAGCAAGGCAAGCTTTGTTCCAAGAGGAAAGATTCTTGAACCCCATACCTCCTTCAGTTTTGGGTAAAGCCACAATCTTTTATGAAACTTTAGCTCTTTTCTTCTTTTTTTTTTCAAAATCACTCCAGAGAAATTGAGAACAGAGATTTTCTATTTGTTGGATCACCTTCTTTGGCAAGAGGATGACTTTCATCCAATACTGAGTCATGCTAGCTAATACTGATATTACGAGTTCAAGCTTTCTTTCATAGCAGAAGTCTTGGCTGCCACCCCATAATCCTCCCAGCAATTCTATCTACCAGGTTTTTGCAATCCTCTTATGAGAGCTTCCCAGCATTCAGGGGAAACCCAAGATACTTGATAGCAGTCTGCCTTCCTTAAACCCAGAACACAAGACTAATTTAGCTTTCAAAATATCAGAGACCCCAGCACTGAAAATATCACTCTTACTTGGGTTACATCTCAACCCTGACACAAGATAGAACTTATGAAGCACAGGTGTGTTAAACCGATTTGCTACATTGAGGGTGGTAGGGTAAAATAGAACGAGCGGCTGCTCTATTAAGCATACAACTGAGGACCTCCATACTAATAGTAAACAGGTAGGTGGAGAGTGGACACCCCTGCCTCAGTCCCTTGATGGTGTAATTTCCTTCCTCATCTTACCAGATTGGAAGAATTCTTGAACGGCCTTAGTGAAAACTTCCCAACCAAATCCCAGTGAGCTTGGAAGAACTCTGCTGGATATCCATTAGGACTAGGAGCTTTCCCCTTCTTCATTGCCATTACAACTTTCTTAACCTCATCACCTATGATTACAGAGCATAACTCCCCTCCTCCTTTTGTCAAATGAAACTACAGCAACTGCCTAATCGTGTCCACAAATACCCTACTCAATTTAAGTCTTGAGCTCCTAGTAACCTCTTGTAAAAGCTTACTGCTTCTAGACCAATCTCCTCTATGCTCTCCAGAACTAGACCTTCGTCTGTAACTAACTTCTTTATAGTATTATTAGCTTGCCTTGATTTCATCATACTGTGGAAAAAATGTGAGTTTCTATCCCCACTGTTGATCCACTATTGCTTAGATTTCTATTTGAGAAAAGATTCCTCAGCCTTTTGGACTTCAAGAAGCTGGACCATACACCTCTTCTCAGCCTGGAAGGCTGAGGAGGCAGTGCGCTCCAACACTTCTTGCTTCTCTTGAGCAAGCTCTTTTTTTACATTTAGAACCGTATCATGGATATCATAATAGCAATCCCTATTGAGGCCTTTCAATCGTGCTTTAATACTTCGCAGCTTTTGGTACAACCTAGCCATAACAGAACCCGTTGCAGGACAGAGCCAACCCTCCTTCACAAGCTTGTCATACTGAGGATGAAGTTGCCAAAAACTAAAATACTTGAAAGGCCGAGGCAAAGTTTGAATCTGAGAGTCCACACTAATGAGCAGCCCACAGTGGTCTGAGAGCCCTAGCAAAAGAACCTTTACCGAACTCCTTGGATAAGCCTCCAACCATCCTTCTTAGACAAGTGCACAATCCAACCTTTTAGCTATTAGATTTGTAGATTGTTTATTAGACCAGGTAAACCAAGGCCCAATGACTTTGTGATCAATCAGTTCCAGCTCATTAATCCATGACTTGAAATCCAAATCACTCTCCCCCAAACCCCCTAAGTTTGAAGCCTTAGTACTATCCACAATAGTATTGGAATCGCCAGCCACAATCCAGGGAAGTGAAGGGTCCACCTTCCCAGCCATCTCCTGATAGATCTGTTTCCTTTCTACAACCTCATTCGACCCATAGACAAAAGTAAACCGAGTTGGAACACCCTCATGAAGGATACCATGAGCATAGTTACCACTACTCTCCAAAACACTTAAATTCAACTCTTTCTTCTAGAGAACCCAAATTCTACCCACACCAACAGCTGAATAAGTCTCTTTATGTTCCCAGCCTGGGAACTTTTCTACTAGTATTTTATCCACTTTATATGAGCTAACTCTAGATTCTAAAATAGCAACCAACTCCACCTTGTATCTACGGTTTGACTCAACTATATTGTCTTGCTTTGTAGGGCTATTGAAACCCCGCATATTCCAAACTAAGATATTCATGACTTTGTATAGATTTTTGCCCCTTTTGGAGGCGTACCAGGCTTACCCTTCTTCTTCTGGAGACCTTCCTTTTACAACATAGGGAAATGAACCGGATCCTTCAAAGGGGAAACAATCAACTCAACAACCTTAAACTGAGTCAAAGAAGATAAAGCTCCAAAAGAGTTATGGCCTACAACCTCATTTGTTGCAACAGCTTGCTGAAACTCCTTCTCTGACGGTAGACCACATCCCTAGCAAGAAGAGGAGCCCTCTATCAAAGAGGAAACAATATTTCCCACAACTCTCTGTAAACCCTCTGGGATAGGACTAACTCCCTCAGCTTCAACAGAATTAACAACCTCCTAAGAAGTAACATATGCAGCTTGGATCACCTCATCATGAGAAACAAGTATGCCCTTAGCAGCTTCACTCTCAGCCTGTATATGCTCCTAGACTACCTCAGCAGTCATTCCTGTCTCTTGCTACTCAACCTGAACCTTATATAGATCCTCCTTCATACAATATGCCCAAATTTGCAACACTAGGCACAAACTTCTGGTTTGTTGCAGAACATATGAACATTATAAGCAGGTCTATGATCAGGAACTAAATGCAGAAAATCCAGAAACTCTGAGTCAACCCCCATCTCAATACAAACTCGAGGATACCCCAAACGTTGGCCTAAGCGAGTGGATTTATCAAACCAAAGAGGTTTGCCAATCATACTAGCTAGACGTGTAAGGATGTGACCCGTGCCATGCTCAAGAGGCAAATCCATAAAGCGTACCCAGATAGGAATAGTCTGTCTCTGTTGCTCTGGCATGATTCCTGGTTCCCACTTCCTCATTAATTGGTCGTTAAATGGGATGATAAATAAATAATCCCCCCCCCCCCCAATTCTTTGATTTCTTCTTTGACTGTGAATCTCCCTGTAGGCAGTCATAACACAGTTTCTCAATTGCTTTGATGGCCTTCTTTGGACGTTGGAAAGTATTCATCCAATATTGAGTACTATTGGCCGAAACAGAGATTATCAACTGCAATTATCCAACATAAGTGGGTAACCTTGGCTCAACCTTGGATCCTCTTTGTGATTTCTACTAAGTCAACACATTTTACATACATAAGCTTTCCAACATGACTGTAACATCCCATTTCGGCTAAACCCATATTTCGATCGCTAGAAAGTTCGTGATTTAAAATCGAGCATTTTGGTAGTATTTCGGCAAAAATCGGATTATCGATCGATCGGATAAGTATACGTATTAATTATATATATATATATATATATATTAATTAAGCAGCCACATATATATAAACTTTCCCCTTTCCCACCCCGTCGATTATTCCATCTTCTTTCTTTCTGTTCCATTAAATTGGGTCGAGAGAAACCGAGAAGCAGGGCGCGCAGGGGAGGAACAAAAAAATTCTCCGAGCTCAATTCTTGAGCTCTAGTGATCCAAAAATCTCGTAAGTAATGCCTAATTCATCTATACATCGTATTTTATCGATTTAGAGCTTTAAAATGAGTTTTTGGTTCAGGAATTTCTTGAATTCCCGCTAAGCCAAATTAGGGTTTCGGAGTATCCGGAAGCCGGATTGAGCCCAAATTTCATATACGAGCTTCCTGCAGCGAGGTAATCAATCCTCTAGTTCTAATCCCTGAATTTCGGTAATTATTTAGGCCGGGGTCCAAACCGCTGAATTTAGCTCCGGCCAGGGTTTGATGTGTTTTTATCAAGAATTTGACCCGGAGCCTAGAACTAATATTGACGGGGATACTGCAGGGGATATTAGGACGGTCTCGGATTTTAATTCGGGGTTCGTTCGTGAAATTGACGTTTTAGTACGGGAAGCTTAAACCGGTGTTTGAACGACCAGAACTGGTGAGGGATTAGCACGGCATACCGGGTTTGTCGTATCACGATAATTATATTGATGCTTAGAATTGACCTAGGTGAATTAGAATGGTATGATTAGGGGTGTATGGACTTTTCTGCTATATGATGAACTATAGGCTTCTGTATGATATTATTGACTTGCCCTAATCGATATGGACCTTGTTTATGTTGATGATTGCATATATGTTGCAAATTGTGGACTTGACTGTTAATATGCTTTACAATGGTTCGAGAAGGTGATTAGGTATGATTTTTCATGATTGTTGTATTTGGATGCACAAGTAGGAGAATATATATTCCCTGGTGATAGTATGATGTATAAGGAGGATGACTTGCACGAGGGTTTATCCCGAGGAAGTGCAATTATACGACTCCTGATTTACCTATGTCGAGCCAATTATGGCCAGGTCAAGTACATGTGCAAGTAATGAATTATGGTTAAGCAAGATGAGATATGAATCATGTATAAGGATACCAAATATGAGTGTTGTGGTCTCACGGTCAACTACATAGTAATTAGGGCTCCCTATGCTATTACTCTGTTATGATATGTATGATAGTCACACCTCTCATGTGGTGGTGACTGAAGAATTCTTACGAGATATGACCGCACCCAGAGTGGTGTCGGGGTATGACTACACCCATAGTGGTGTGGGGTATGTATGACCACATCCGACGGGATGTTGGGGTATGTATGACTACATCCGACGGGATGTGGGGTATGTTTCCCGGGAGAGTTATTAGCACGGGAGTATCCAGGCGCCTATAAGTAAAACACGATAAGACGCATATGCATAAGTCAAGGTGGTTGAGTCTTTTGCCCATTGGGACATGAAGATGGCTGTGAACTGATCCTAGTGTTTTGGCTTGTTTGCTAGATGTATGGTAGGGGTATGCTCTGTTATGAACTCACGATGCTATGATTATCTCACTCAGCTATGAGCTGACCCTCTTTATCCTTTTTCTCTGCTTATGCCATGTGTAAGCAGATCATCATCATCGGCAGTAGATAGGTGTATAGGTGGTAGCTGAGCAAGAGTTGAAGGCAAGATGAGGTATGGTCTTCAACTATTCTGTGCTTGGACGACTACTCGGGATTTTGGCCAGTGATCCACACCTTTTTGTAAAAATGTTTTGAGAATGTTTTTCATGTGCATACTAGCTTCTGAAGTAGAGTGAGATATCCACAGGTGTGGAAAGTTGATGATATGTGTATATTTGTGTAATTGTGTAAGTTTTGATGATTATGGCATGTATAAGTATGGTATGCAGTTATGGAGTATGAAAACTGTGATTATGGCTATGAAAGCCAATGTATATGGTTGTGAGTATATATGTTGATGATATGTGTATATTTGTGTAATTGTGTAAGTTTTGATGATTATGGCATGTATAAGTATGGTATGCAGTTATGGAGTATGAAAACTGTGATTATGGCTATGAAAGCCAATGTATATGGTTGTGAGTATATATGTTTGTGATGAATTATTTTGCAGGATAAGTTGCAAGAACTGTTAGCCCATTACGCGAGTAATTCATGTCGAAATTTTATTTGATTTTTGGTAATTAATGTAACACCCGAGATTATTTCCGCTGCAATTGTATGAACAATATGATTAGGTAATACGTATAGGGTAGGGTGTTACAGTTTGGTATCAGAGCATGGTTCCCTCTTTTTGATGTTATGGCGTACTATACCCTATGGGAGGTTAAACACTCCTAAGGAGGGGAGTACCCCATAATGACTTAAACTGGGAATTTAGTTTGACATGATTATGTGTATTGGTATTTTGGTTTTCAAAATTGAGTTTTGAACTTATTTGTTTTCAAGTAATTATTTTGGAAATTTTTTGTTTTAACCAAGTGAGAGATTTGGTGAAGAATGAATTTTGTGTGGATCAATCTAAGGCCAATATTTCCTTGTAGCTCGCACGAAAGTTGTCATAATGTTCCTACTGACTAGTCGAGAGGAGTGGGGGCGGTTGATGCAAGACCGCCAGTATTAGATTATGCAAAGATGAAGAGTTTGGGTGGTAAGGACTTCAAGGGAGATGTGAGTCCAGATGCTGTAGTAGAGTGGTTGGGAGAGATGGAAGATGTGTTTGAGTATCTTTATGCGACCCAAGAGGAAAAAGTACAATATGTTGTTTTTCTCCTAAAGGGGTACGCGAGGAGCTGGTGGTCCTCAGTCTCTAGAGTTAATGGTGAACGAGTTCAGTTCACCTGGGAGGAGTTCCTGAAGGCCTTTAAGACAGAGTTTCTTCCCGAAGCTTTTATCAGGGCAAAGAACAATGAATTCTCCAACCTTAAGCAGGATAATATGACAGTTACTGAGTACACCATCAAGTTTGTTCGACTACTTTACTTTGAGGATGGGTTGGCGGATACTGAGCGTAAGAAGAAGATGAGATACTTGCATGGTCTGCACATAGGATTGAAAGAAAAGGTCCACAGGGTTGATGAAGAGAGTATGGCAACAATCAAGGAGGCAGCACTTAAGTATGAAGCCTATGAAGTTGAGAGCCGAGAGGAACACAAGGCCAAAGAAGAGGAGAAGAAGAAGAAGTTTGGAGTAAATTATGCTGGACCTCGTTATCCACCTAGGAGAGGTCCTAGCAGTTTTGGGAGAACACCAACTCAATCTATGTCGGGAACATCATACAGGTCACCAATTTCCTCAGCCACACAATTTCCATTTTGTCAAGTTTGTCAGAAGATGCATCTTGGAGAGTGTAGGAGATTTTATGGTGTATGCTTTCACTGTGGCCAACCTGGGCACATCATGAGGGATTGTCCGCATTCGAGAGAAGTAAGAGCTACACAGTCCGAGCCTTCAGTGCAATTTAGTAGAGCCCCATTCAGGGGTGGTTACCAGGGAGGCCGTAGTGGATTTCAGAGTGGTCGTGGTGGTTCACAGGGTGGTAGAGGTGGTGGTCAAAATCAGCCATCAGGAAGTGGTACGCAGAGTACCAGAGCACAGGGAGCACCGAGGGTTTATGCAATGACTCGAGGGGAGGCAGAAGTGGCACCAGAAGTTGTGACTAGTATGCTTTCTATCCTTGGCAAGCAATTATATGCTTTGATCGATACTGGTTCCTCTCACTCATTCATGTCATATACGTTTGCACATATGCTACGCTTAGTTCCAGATAAGCTAGGTTATACCTTATGTGTTAAAACACCTGTGGGAGATACCTTGAAGGTAGACTCAGTTATTAGAGATTCCTTCATTTGTGTGGAAGGAGCTTTCCTAGTAGCAGATTTAATTTTGCTACCTTTTGATGAATTTGATGTCATCCTTGGAATGGACTTTCTGGCAACACATGGAGCTGTTGTGGATTGTCAAAAGAAAGAAGTGTTATTCAACACACCAGATAAAGGTCCTGTTGTATTTCGAGGCATTAAGAAAAAGGAGACTCATGGTTTTCTTTCTGCCTTGGAAGCTTTTCGATTAGTGAAGGAAGGTTGTGAAGCCTTTCTTGCTCAAGTTACTGTAGTAAATGATAAGAAGGTTGAGGATGTAGAGGTGGTAAGGGAGTTTCCTGATGTATTCCCCGAAGAACTTCCCGGCCTTCCACCAGAAAGGGAAGTAGAGTTTGATATTGAATTGGTACCTGGCACAACACCAATTTCAATGGCACCATATAGAATGGCACCAATTGAGCTGAAGGAAAAATTGCAAGAATTGCTAGACAAAGGGTTTATTCGACCTAGCATCTCACCTTGGGGTGCACCGGTTTTGTTTGTCAAGAAGAAAGATGGCTCCATGAGAATGTGCATTGACTACCAAAGGTTGAATAAGGCGACAGTGAAGAATCGTTATTCCCTCCCAAGAATAGATGACTTGTTTGATCAATTGCAGGGTGCATCGGTCTTTTCTAAGATTGATTTGAGGTCTGGATACCATCAATTGAAAGTGGCAGATGGAGCAACTTCAAAGACAGCTTTTAGAACAAGATATGGGCATTATGAGTTCCTGGTAATGCCTTTTGGACTCACTAATGCACCAGCGATATTTATGGCTCTTATGAACAGAGTTTTCCACGAATATCTTGATAAGTTTGTGATTGTGTTCATAGATGATATTCTCATCTATTCAAAAAGCGAGGAGGAGCACAAAACTCACCTTAGAATTGTGTTGCAAATTCTAAGAGAGAAACAATTATATGCAAAATTCTCAAAATGTGAGTTTTGGCTGAAGGAGGTAATATTTCTGGGACATGTAATTTCTAGAAGAGGTGTCGAGGTGGATCCGAAAAAGGTGGAAGCAGTGGTGAGTTGGGCTCCACCAAAAGATGTGTCTGAGTTGAGAAGTTTTCTTGGCATGGCTGGTTATTATCGGCAGTTTGTCGAAGGATTTTCCAAAATTGCTGCACCATTGACCAAACTGTTGAGGAAGAATACTAAGTATGTTTGGGATGAATCATGTCAAAAGAGTTCTGATGAACTGAAAAAGAGATTGACCACAACACCAGTACTTGCACTACCTTCAAGTCAGGGAGAGTTCGTGGTGTATAGTGATGCCTCGTATCAAGGATTGGGTTGTGTGTTAATGCAAGATGGAAGAGTTATCGCATATGCCTCTAGGCAATTGCTTCCTCATGAAGTAAATTATCCCACTCATGACTTAGAATTGGCACCGGTGGTATTTGCTCTCAAGATTTGGCGACATTATTTGTATGGTGAGACTTTTAAAATCCTAACTGATCACAAAAGCTTGAAGTATATTATGGATCAGAAGGATTTAAATAGTCGCCAGAGGAGATGGATAGAGTTGTTGAAAGATTATGATTGTACCATTGATTACCATCCAGGTAAAGCTAATGTAGTTGCTGATGCTCTGAGCAGAAAAGGCAAGAAGAATATAACGGATCTGGTTGATTTGACGGCAATGAATGTTGATTTGGAAGTGGATGGTGTAACAGGGTTACTAGCTCGGTTGAACATTCGACCTTTGTTGCACGACAAAATTCGTGAGAAGCAGAAGGAGGACCCAGAGTTGGAAAAAATCATTCAAGACATTGAGGAAGGAAAAGAAAGCCCATTTGAAATGGTAGATGGCATGTTGAAGATGAATGGAAGAGCATGTGTTCCTAATGTTGATAACTTGAGGAAAGATATCCTAGATGAAGCTCATTCTTCTGCTTATGCTATGCACCCAGGAGCAACTAAAATGTATCACACGATCAAACCATATTTTTGGTGGCGTGGGATGAAAAAGGAAGCGGCTGAACATGTTTTCACATGTCTAGTATGTCAGAAAGTTAAGGCAGAACATCAAGCTCCCGTGGGAAAACTGCAACCACTTCCAATTCCAGAATGGAAGTGGGAAAGAATCACAATGGATTTTGTGTATGGTCTCCCACCATCAAGGGGAAAGGATGCAGTATGGGTTATTGTGGACCGACTAACCAAATCGGCTCACTTTTTACCCATTAGATGGAAACCATCACTGGAGACTTTGTCTCAACTATATATTAAGGAGATCGTCAGATTGCATGGTGTGCCAATTTCTATTGTCTCTGATCGAGACCCGAGCTTCACATCTCGGTTTTGGCAAAGTTTACATGATGCTTTGGGAACTAAACTGCATTTTACTTCAGCTTATCATCCTCAAATAGATGGGCAGAGTGAACGAACCATCCTAAATTTGGAGGAATTACTTCGATCATGTGTAATGCAATGGGAGGAATCATGGATTGACCATTTGCCCTTGATTGAGTTTGCTTACAACAATCAGTACCATAGTAGTTTGGGTGTTCCGCCATATGAAGCACTTTATGGGAGGAAATGCAGAACACCATTATGTTGGGATGTAGAAGGAGCAAGGCAAAGCTCAGGGCCAGAGATAGTTCAGATCACAGTTGATAAGGTCAAGGAAATCAGGGAGCGTATGAGGGTGGCTCAAGATCGACAAAAATTTTATGTTGACACGAATAGGCGTGAAGTTAATTTCGAAGTGGGTGAGAAAGTATTTCTCAAAGTGTCACCATTGAAAGGGGTGATGAGATTTGGTAAGAAAGGAAAGCTTGCACCTCGATATATTGGGCCATATGAAATCACAGAGAAGATTGGACCAGTGGCTTATAAGTTAGCATTGCCTCCAGAACTATCCCAAATCCACAATGTATTTCATGTTAGTATGCTGAAGAGGTACAAAGTGGATCCTTCCCATGTTATACAACCAGAAGAGATCGAGTTGGGTTCAGATTTGACTTTTGAAGAGGTTCCAGTTGAGATTGTTGGTTTTCAGATTAAGAATCTTCGTAGGAAGGAAATCCCAATGTTGAAAGTGGTTTGGAGAAATCAAGAAAGTGAGAGTGCTACCTGGGAAACTGAAGCAAGTATGCGAGAGAAGTACCCTGAGTTAGTAGCAACCTACTTTGTAGGTTAACAATCTTGCTTAGTAAGTTATGTTTTGAACTTGCTGATATGCTTTTGTTGTGATAGCCCAGTATAGGTTTTTGAAACCTAAAAATGGGAACTTGAGGTGTTATGTGTTTATTTATGTACTTCATATCGCCTAACCTGAGAGTTAGGTAATGGTTTATCTATGATAGACCATGTCAAGGGTAAGTAATTGGACTAAGGGTACAACTCAAGGTTAGATTTCGGGGACGAAATCTTTCAATGAGGGGAGAATTGTAACATCCCATTTCGGCTAAACCCATATTTCGATCGCTAGAAAGTTCGCGATTTAAAATCGAGCATTTTGGTAGTATTTCGGCAAAAATCGGATTATCGATCGATCGGATAAGTATACGTATTAATTTTATATATATATATATATATATATTAAGCGGCCGCATATATATAAACTTTCCCCTTTCCCACCCCGTCCATTATTCCATCTTCTTTCTTTCTGTTCCATTAAATTGGGTCGAGAGAAAATGAGAAGCAGGGCGCGCAGGGGAGGAACAGAAAAATTCTCCGAGCTCAATTCTTGAGCTCTAGTGATCCAAAAATCTCGTAAGTAATGCCTAATTCATCTATACATCGTAGTTTATCGATTTAGAGCTTTAAAACGAGTTTTTGGTTCAGGAATTTCTTGAATTCCCCATAAGCCAAATTAGGGTTCGGAGTATCCGGAAGCCGGATTGAGCCCAAATTTCATATACGAGCTTCCTGCAGCGAGGTAATCAATCCTCTAGTTCTAATCCCTGAATTTTGGTAATTATTTAGGTCGGGGTCCAAACCGCTGAATTTAGCTCTGGCCAGGGTTTGATGTGTTTTTATCAAGAATTTGACCCGGAGCCTAGAACTAATATTGACGGGGATACTGCAGGGGATATTAGGACGGTCTCGGATTTTAATTCGGGGTTCGTTCGTGAAATTGACGTTTTAGTACGGAAAGGTTAAACCGGTGTTCGAACGACCAAAACTGGTGAGGGATTAGCACGGCATACCGGGTTTGTCGTATCAGGATAATTATATTGATGCTTAGAATTGACCTAGGTGAATTAGAATGGCATGATTAGGGGTGTATGGACTTTTCTGCTATATGATGAACTATAGGCTTCTGTATGATATTATTGACTTGCCCTAATCGATATGGACCTTGTTTATGTTGATGATTGCATATATGTTGCAAATTGTGGGCTTGACTGTTAATATGCTTTACAATGGTTCGAGAAGGTGATTAGGTAGGATTTTTCATGATTGTTGTATTTGGATGCACAAGTGGGAGAATATATATTCCCTGGTGATAGTATGATGTTTAAGGAGGATGACTTGCACGAGGGTTTATCCCAAGGAAGTGCAATTATACGACTCCTGATTTACCTATGTCGAGCCAATTATGGCCAGGTCAAGTACATGTGCAAGTAATGAATTATGGTTAAGCAAGATGAGATATGAATCATGTATAAGGATACCAAATATGAGTGTTGTGGTCTCACGGTCAACTACATAGTAATTAGGGCTTCGTATGCTATTACTCTGTTATGATATGTATGATAGTCACACCTCTCATGTGGTGGTGACTGAAGAATTCTTACGAGATATGACCACACCCAGAGTGGTGTCGGGGTATGACTACACCCATAGTGGTGTGGGGTATGTATGACCACATCCGACGGGATGTTGGGGTATGTATGACTACATCCGACGGGATGTGGGGTATGTTTCCCGAGAGAGTTATTAGCATGGGAGTAGCCATGCGCCTATAAGTAAAACACGATAAGACGCATATGCATAAGTCAAGGTGGTTGAGTCTTTTGCCCATTGGGACATGAGGATGGCTGTGATCTGATCCTAGTGTTTTGGCTTGTTTGCTAGATGTATGGTAGGGGTATGCTCTGTTATGAACTCACGATGCTATGATTATCTCACTCAGCTATGAGCTGACCCTCTTTATCCTTTTTCTCTGCTTATGCCATGTGTAAGCAGATCATCATCATCGGCAGTAGATAGGTGTATAGGTGGGAGCTTAGCAAGAGTTGAAGGCAAGATGAGGTATGGTCTTCAACTATTCTGTGCTTGGACGACTACTCGGGATTTTGGCCAGTGATCCACACCTTTTTGTAAAAATGTTTTGAGAATGTTTTTCATGTGCATACTAGCTTCTGAAGTAGAGTGAGATATCCACAGGTGTGGAAAGTTGATGATATGTGTATATTTGTGTAATTGTGTAAGTTTTGATGATTATGGCATGAATAAGTATGGTATGCAGTTGTGGAGTATGAAAACTGTGATTATGGCTATGAAAGCCAATGTATATGGTTGTGAGTATATATGTTTGTGATGAATTATTTTGCAGGATATGTTGCAAGAACTGTTAGCCCATTAAGCGAGTAATTCATGTCGAAATTTTATTTGATTTTTGGTAATTAATGTGACACCCGAGATTATTTCCGCTGAAATTGTATGAACAATATGATTAGGTAATACGTATAGGGTAGGGTGTTACAATGACTCCTTCCCTAAAACCATACACATTTATCATCATTTCTTTCAAATCCCTTCCCGCCCCTGCACAATATAGATCACTCTTCTGTGGGTTACCTCTAAGCCCAAACACCTGATAAAACTTCCTCAATATTTCAGCTAACCCTTATACTCTTTCTACTTCCCTTTCATGAAGATAAGTAAGTCATTTACAAAGATAGGTGAGACAAACTTATCCTCTAACATCGAGGATGAAAAGAGAGAAACTTAGTCTATATAGCTCTATTTGACATGCTACTCATAATTCCTAGAGTTATGAAAAAATGTAGAAAGAGGGGATCTCCCTACCTTGACCCTTTATTTGCTTTAAAATCCCTTGTGAGACCTCCATTAAAACACACTAAGAATGTAGCACTGGCCAGACATTGTGCACACTATCAAATGCTTTCATCACATCCACCTTCAATGCACACCTTTGACAAACATTTTCCCTATTATACCATTTGAACATTTCGTGTGCTAAGATGAGATTATCACAAATTAGCCTAATTTTTATTAATTCATATTGATTCCTATTAATCAATTGGGGTAAAATCTCCCTAAGTCTTACCGCCAACACTTTTGAAATACACTTATATATGAAGTTATGGCAGGAGATTGGTCTGAATTGTTCCAAAGTATCCAGATCCTAACTACATGGGGTGCAGAGTAGGTATCCTTAAATTTCCAGTCTGAGAAGTATTTACTCGCATTTTTTCCCAATTCTATGTTTGCAAATTGGTCTCCAAAATTGCAACAATATAAATTTTTAATCTAATTAACACTTCCACTATATGCTTATGCTTTTCAAGCCTATTGAAGCCCCTCATATTCCTGGAAATAACTATAATCCTACTTGCTTATGTCTGGAAGGCCTTTTCCTACCATTATGTTTTTATACCAATTTATCCTATTTGATCCGTACCAATTCTGGGAACTCAAGTTGATTCTCTTGGAAGGAGATATGACCACTGACCCCATGAATCAAACTGATCAAGTGTTTCCATTACATCAAAGGCATTGGCATGTGCAACCTTAAATGGGATGTTGCCTACTTCTTTTGAAACTCTTGATCTTTTAGGAGACAATTTTACTTCGCTTTGTTGCTTTGAGGTCCTTAGATTGCCCCATTGATAGCACCCCATTCAGATACATCTTCATGAGTAAGTGAAGCAATCATATCTGACACAGCTTGTTACAATCCTACTTCATTCACCAACCCAGAGTTTGTCTTCTAGTTGTTTACAACTTATTCGGTTACAATCTTTCCCACCTCCTTATCAGAGCCTTCATTTCATTCCAGCTTACTAATTGCAAGCTCATCATTTTTGGCAGTCTCTCACTCTTTTGCTTCTTCACATCTCTGAGTCTCCGGATTACTACAATTATGCCTAAACTTGTTGCACTTAGCACAAAGTTTTGGCAAGCTCATCCTTTTTGGCAGTCTCTCGCTCTTTCAAGCCTATTGAAGCCCCTCATATTCCAGGAAATAACTATAATCCTACTTGCTTATGTTTGGAAGGCCTTTTCCTACCATTCTGTTGTTATACCAATTTATCCTAATTGATCCCTACCAATGCTGGGAATTCAAGTTGATTCTCTTGGAAGGAGATATGATCACTCACCCCATGAATCAAACTTATCAAGTGTTTCCATTACATCAAAGGCATTGTCATGTGCAACCTTAAATGGGATGTTACCTACTTCTTTTGAAACTCTTGATCTGTTAGGAGACAATTTTACTTCCCTTTGTTGCTTTGAGGTCCTTATACTGCCCCATTGATAGCACCCCATTCATATCCCTCTTCATGAGTAAGTGAAGCAATCATATCTGACACAGCTTGTTGCAATCCTACTTCATTCACCAACCCAGACTTTGTCTTCTTGTTGTTTACAACTTATTCGGTTACAATCTTTCCCACCTCCTTATCAGAGCCTTCATTTCATTCCAACTTACTAATTGCAAGCTCGTCATTTTTGGCAGTCTCTCGCTCTTTTTCTTCTTCACCTCTCTGAGCCTCCAGATTACTACAATTATGCCTAAACTTGTTGCACTTAGCACAAAGTTTTGGTTTGTTTCAGTACTTCCTTTGCAGAAAGAAAGAAGGCCTTATATCCAGAACAAGCTAAAGGGATTCAGGGAACATAAAGTCCATACTCAATTCTACACAGACTTTAGGATAATTGATTAGTCAACATCCCAGTCCAGTAGACAAGTTGAACCAGTGGTCTTTCAAGCATGCTTGCAAGCATAGTCAACACTCATCCTGAGGTATATTACAAAGACAGGTATATGAGCTTCACCCACAGAGAGATCACTGCCTAGGTTGCTCAGCATAAATTCTCAGAGCCCACTTTCCTTTTGATAGAACATATCCTCATGTGAATGCCTATGCCAGTGGTAAACACTCACTACTGCGTAGCCTGAGTCGAGAATTGAAACAACATGAGCTTTTTCCTACGCCATGAAACCTTAACATTTCCCCCTTTACTGTCACATGTGGTAGATGACATGGCACCGACAGGGTGACAACATGTTGTGCACATGTGGCGTGTATGGAAGACTAGAAGCATATAGATGCCTCTAGGATTCTCCCAACCTTTATGAGCATTATGGTGCACTTATGGGCCACATTATGGGTGGTATTAAGGAGTGCATTATTGGCGGACTTTATGAGTGTATTGATGTAGAGGGAACATTATGAGGGGGGCATTGACGCCTTGTATGTGGAGAGGCCTATATAAGGAGTCATCTCCCTCACTTGTAACTTATTCCATCATTTTTTAGACTAATACACACTAGAGAGTTCTCTCATCTTCTTTGTCTTTATTCTTGCTTTCTTTTCTTGCGCGACAGTTTGAGAGAAGGTTGCTTAGTTTTCAAACGGAATTTGAGAGCTAGAGTTGCACGACCTAGAGTAGGGTCGTGACAAGTGGTATTAGAGCCCGGTTAGGCTCGGTGCTAGCAAAGAAAAAGCATAGGCAAACGAAGAGGAAGAACCTCACCAAAACGTTGGGATCAGAAGGCGTAACTGATGCTGAGAAGGAAACCAAAAGTGGAAGAGATCCCAACAAGAGCTCGAGGCCCAAAGGTATGTCGAGTGCTCGTGATCCTTTGATATCTCTAGAGAAGCGACTCTTTATAGTGGAGGTGAAGCTTTCCGGAGCTTTCACCGTCATGGAGGATATGTGAGCTAACTTTGCCCAAGTCCAAAGCAACATTCAAGGAGTGGCTGCTCGGTTGACGAGTTTGGAGATTGGGCATAATGGACTATGAGAAGAGCTTGTGGCCCTCGTCACCAACACCGTCTCCGACTCCATGAACAACGCAATCAAATTTGTGGAAGAGCATATCCAGGCTGAGTTGGGCGGAGTGAAGGAGGAGATTCTAGATCTCAAGAGTAAGGTCACTCTCATGAAGAGAGCCATGGCTAGCGGACCAGCCTCGGTGCAATCCGTCCCACGTGCTCACGTTCCAAGATTGAAGAACTTCGGAGGTTCAAGGAATCCGAGGGAGTTAGAGAACTTCCTTTGGAGTCTTGAGCAGTATTTCAAGGCATCCGACATCCAAGAGGATGAGGTAAAACTTCGTACAGTGCAACTTTAATTGGTCGATATTGCTATGGTTTTGTGGAGGCGGCGTGAAGAGGACGTCGAGAAGGGTATGTGTGTGATGGCAACATGGGATGATTTTAAGAGAGAAATCAAGAGGCAGCTCTATCCGGAGAACGTGGAGTTTGAAGCCCGTTCGAGGTTGAGAAGGCTCGCCCAGAATGGTGTAATTCGAGTGCAGCTTTACTTGGTCAATATTGCTATGGTTTGGTGGAGGCGGTGTGAAGCGAACATCGAGAAGGATACGTGTGTGATGGCAACATGAGATGATTTCAAGAGAGAAATCAAGAGGAAGTTCTATCCGGAGAACGTGGAGTTCGAAGCCCGTTCGAGGTTGTGAAGGCTCTCCCAGAAGGGTGTAATTCGAGAATATATGAAGGAATTCTCAGCGCTGCTTCTAGAGATCCCGGACATCACGGACAAGGAGGCCATACACGATTTTCTTGATGGGCTGCAACCGTGGGCCAAGATGGAGATAAAATGTCGAGGAGTGCAAGACCTTGCAACTGTCATGGCCACGACATAGTCTTTTATTGAGTACAAAAGGCAAGAGAGCAGCACTAAGGAAAAGACTTCAAAGCCCAACAAGGGGGGAGAACAGTGTCAACCTTTCAAGGAAGGCACTCGCACTCAACAACATAGTGGTCCAAGCAAATGAGGTAAGTTCGAACCAAAGCCTCTTATTTTTTTTCTTTGCGATGGACCATATCGAGTGCAAGATTGCCCAAGAAAGGCGAGATTGGCGGCCATGGAAACTCAAGATGAAGATCCCAAGGCAGCGGAGGCCAAGATTGGCTCAATCAACAAGTTTGGCACGGTGAAGACCGACGCCAAGGAGAGCAAGCGTGGGAGGTTCTCTGGCCCAATTCATGCAAGGTGAGTCAAAATCCTTGGTGGATACCGGTGTCACGGACAACTTCCTTCGCATCAAAGAGGCAAACCGACTTGGTATTGCCTATGAGAAGGGGCAAGGGTGGCTCAATACGATCAATTTAAAGTTCATCCCGGTCCATGGAGTTACTCACAACATGCCAATGAAGCTTGGCTAATGGAAAGGCATCATTGACTTTTTCGTCGTCACCATGGGCGACCACCCAGTCATCCTCGGCATCAACTTCCTCGAAAATGAGGGAGTGCTCTTAAAGCCCAACTCCAACACGATGTGCTTGGAGAAGGCAGGGGAGTTCCATGCGGTCCATCTCTTGAGAGAAGATGGTCCCCACAGTGCTTTATCCGCTATGCATCTATTGAAGGGGTTCAAAAATAAGGAGCTAACATTTCTTATGTCCTTGAAGATGGAGGAAGAAGAAGGCTCAACGAGAATCAAAACTCCCAATATCGAAGGTGTGCTTGAAGAATTCGATGATGTGATGCCACTGGAGTTGCCCAAGAAGCCGCCACCAAGAAGAGAGGTGGACCACAAGATCGAGTTGAAGCCAAGAGCGAGCACCATACCGCATGGTCCCATCAAAGCCAGAAGAGTTGCAGAGGAAGCTCAAGGGCTTGATAGATGCAGGATACATGCGACCATTGAAGTCACCTTTTGGAGCACCAGTGCTATTCCAAAAGAGAAGGAAGGTTGTTGCGCATGTGCATCGACTATAGAGCCATCAACAAGTTGATGGTGAAGAACAAGTGGTAGATTTCCAACATTGCGGACTTGTTAGACCAGCTTGGAGATGCGTTGTGGTTCACCGAGCTTGATCTTTGCTCGGGCTACTATCAAGTGAGGATGGCAGAGGGCGACGAGCCAAAGATAGCTTGTGTGTATGGCTTTTACGAGTTTCTTGTGTTGTCATTCGGTCTTACCAACACACCAGCCACGTTTTGCACTTTGATTAATCAAGTGTTCGAGCCATTCTTGGATCGATTCGTCATAGTGTTCTTGGATGACACCGTAGTGTATAGCAAAACACTAGATGAGCATGTTGAGCACCTACATCAAGTCTTCCAAGTCCTTCGTGACAACGAGTTGTATGTCAAAAGGAAGAAGTGCACTTTTGCCGCCACGGAGGTTCCTTTCTTGAGGCACATCATAGGTGGAGGAAAGTTGAAGATGGATGGGGTGAAGGTGGAGGCAATCCAAGAATGGGAGCGGTCTACAAAGGTGCCAAAGTTGCGGTCATTCATCGGCCTTGCCAACTACTATCGGAGATTTATCAAGGGCTACTCCAACATTGCAGCACCCTTGGCAAATATTTTTAAGAAGAACCAGGCTTGGGAGTGGTTGTAAAGGTGCCAAGAAACATTCGAGGCCTTGAAAGCAGCCGTGATGAAGGAGCCCGTAGTCGTGCTCCCCAACCCGACGTTGGCCTACGGAGTGCAGACCGATGCATCTGACTTTGCGATTGGTGGTGTTTTGATGCAGGATGAGCATCTCATTGCCTTCGAGAGTCGGAAGCTCAATAAGACGGAGTGGTGATACACGGTCCAAAAATAAGGAGATGACGGTCGTGGTGCATTGCTTGCGCACATGGATGCACTACTTGTTGAGGTCAAAGTTCGTAGTGAAGACGGACAACGTGGCAATGAGCTATTTTCTCACGCAGAAGAAGCTCAACCCCAAGCAAGCAAGGTGGCAAGATTTTCTAGCCAAGTTTGACTTCGTGATGGAATACAATCCCGAGAAGGCGAATTTTATTGGAGATGCTCTTAGTCTCAAGTGTGCAGCCGCAAGCATCATCCAGCCCGTGTTTCCTTTCAAGGAGCGAATCATCTAAGGCCTTGGCCATGACCCCTTCGCCAAAACCGTGATGGATTACATCGAGCAAGGTAAGACTCGACAGTTTTGTGCCAAGATGGACCAACTTGAGGAAGGAGATCATGAAGGAGTGTCATGACTCCCAAGTGGGTTTGCCATCCTGACATCGAGAGGACACAAACGCTCATCGAGGAAGCAGACTTCTGGCCGCGTATGAGAGATGACATGGGGATGTATGTGAGACTTGTCTTGTGTGCAAACAAGACAAGATGGAGCAGAGAAGGCCAGAAGGCTTGCTAGAGCCCTTGCCCGCGCCTCAACGACCATGGGAGAGTGTAAGTATGGACTTCATCGTCAGACTTCCCAAAGTTGACGAGTGCGGTTGCATCATAGTTGTAGTCGACAGGTTCTCAAAGTATGGAGTGTTCACCCTGAGCCAAAAGACATGACAGCAGAGGATTCAGCGCGACTATTCTTCAAGAAAGTTGTCAAGTGTTGGGGCATTCGTAGCAACATCGTGAACGACAGAGATGGGCGCTTCATGGGCCGATTTTGCCGAGAGTTGTTCAAGATCATGGATTCTGACTTCAACTTCTCGACTGCATTTCATCTGCAAAGCGACGTACAGACGGAGCGGGTGAACGCCTTACTGGAGGTGTACTTGAAGCACTATGTGAGTGCTAACTAGCGAGGTTGGGTGAAGTTGATGGATACGACACAATTCTCCTACAACTTGCACCACAGCGAGTCGACCAACACGAGTCCATTCGAGTTGGCGAAGGGGTAGCAACCATTGATGCCTACGACGGTGGCAACGGGGTATAGAGGGAACAGTCTGACATCCAACAAGTTTGCTAAGGCTGGCAGAGAAGATGGAGATGACCAAGTCTTAGTTAGCCCGCGCTAGTAAGAAGATGAATAAATGGGTGGACAAGAAGAGCGACACCTTGAGTTTGAAGAGGAAGACATGGTAATGGTAAAGTTCTACCCTCTTCGCTTCAAGCATCTCAAGAACGTGCACAAGGGACTGCTTCGCCGCTATGAAGGGTCATTCTCCATCGTGAAGAGGATTCGCAAGGTGGCGTACAAGGTGGATATGTCGTCGCACTTGGAGATCCATCTGGTCTTTCACAGGAGCCAACTCAGGCTTTCAACGAAGACAAAGAGGACGAGTAAGGGACGGAGTCACATCGCACACCAACACTCGTCACCAAGACACACGACCATGAAGAAGAGATCATGGCGCGTCGTGTCATTCCTCATCGTAGCATTCAATCTAGTTATGTGGAGTACTTGGTCAAGTGGCACAATCTTCTGCAGAGCGAAGCTAGTTGGGAGAACGAGCTCACACTTTGGAAGAACAAAGACTTGATCAAGACTTTCCCTCAAGAGGATGGGACGAGGGCGTCGTGAGCATAAGTGGGGGAGGATGCCACATGTGGCAGATGACATGGAGCCAACTAGGTGACAACATGGTGTGCACATGTGGCGTGTATGGATTACTAGAAGTATAGAGATGCTTCTAGGATTCTCTCAACCTTTATGAGCATTATGGTGCACTTATGGGCCACATTATGGGTGGTATTAAAGAATGCATGATGGGGGACTTTATGGGTGTATTGATGTAGAGGGACCATTATGAGGGGGCATTGATGCCTTCTATGTGAAGAGGCTTATATAAGGAGCCATCTCCCTCACTTGTAACTCGTTCATTTTTTTAGAGTAATACACACTAGAGAGTTCTCTCATCTTCTTTGTCTTTGTTCTAGCTTTCTTTGCTTGCACGACAATTGGAAAGAAGGCTGCTTAGTTCTCTAATGGAATTGAGAGCTAAGGCCATGACCTAGAGCTTGTTAGCCCATGTTTGAGCCTGACTAATATGTGGATAAGTAGTAAGGAACTTACCAACTAGGCAGAGTTTCCATCTAGCGATCTCAGGCTGGATATAGACCTGCCGATTCTCCTCTACAACGCCAAAAAGATCTACCCAAGAAAGAAAAGATTTGTTATAATTCCCAAAACTATGCAAGTGAATTATTTGTAACAATAATTAATGATCAAATATATTATTTTGTCTTCGGAAAAGAAAAAGAATGAGAATGATAAAATAATAACTTTTTATGGGACTCAATAATTCTATTATCATATGTAAAAGAATCACGTAAATAATGTATAATGAAATATGACGTAAAAGAAAGAACACTTTATTAATGTGGTTCACATTGTTCAGAGTAAACGACACTACTTTACGACGAACTCAGTAACGAGCTCTTATCTACTCTTATTAGTTCCTGGTTCACCTAACTTTGACTATAGATATAATATATATACATACAGGTGGCTTTTGTGGCATACTCAATCCTAAAATGAAACTTAAGGCTTCAGATTTTGAATTTTATGAATAACATTAGTATACTGCATACAATAATATACCATATGATCACAACTTATCCTTATAGTATCCTAAATTCTAAACCCTAAAATCTTAACCCTAATCCACAGAATCCATAAATTCTAGAAAACAACCCTTTATTTGGAAAGAGGGGACACCATGGAAGGGGAAATGTTACATCCTCAAGACATTTTCTTGTGTTTATGAAAAATATAGAGAATAGTAAAGGAAATATAATTGGGATAAATGAATTCTGCGAGCCTCTCCAGAAGAAAGTAAAGTTTGCAATCATTTTTATTTCTTTCCTGCAATTTCTTTTGCACATTCTTTACTTTTTTATTTTCATTATTTTGTATTGCTATTCTTAAATTACTTTTCAATCTATTTTTAATATTATATTTTTAAACATACTTTTTAATCAACTTTTTCTCCATCATTTTCTCTCATAAAACAATACATTTTTCTACTATTTTACCCCTCCCTCAAATATTTCATTCCCAAGATTTTAATTTCTCCTACATGTCTCAAGTTCGAAACTCTTAAGTAATATCTAAAACAAAAAACAAAAATTAAACTTCTATGACCCTTATAGAAAAACATATATACTATTACATTAACTAACACAGTAAACCAATTCCTACCACTTTTGTTGGATTTCCAATATCTAAAATTTAGATCAAATAAAATTAATTTCCGATCAGTTTTTTTATTCCAAACTCAAAACTTAGAATTGAAATTTCTGTTAAATTTCTTGACTTATCGGCTCTTCAAACAAGCGGCTAAAGTTTGTGAAGCAAAATTCTCTATTTTTGAATCTCTTCCAAGTTCCAAGTGAGTCGTTATGGACTAAACCAGATCGTTTCGAACTTGAAAAGACCCAACTGCGATTTTTCCAAACTAAAGGATAAAACTTTGACCTGGCATGTTTTGATTACCACGTTATAAAAAAAGGTGGCCTTCATCGATAAATCTATCCAACACGTGCCCTCAAAATGGAAAGACAAGACTCGCGAAATTTAAAGTAAGGAATGTTCATGTAGCCGCCCAACTTGCTAATTGAAAAGTACGAAAAATACATTGAAAGATGCTCCATCATCATCTTCTCTATATAAATTACTAACAGTACTTCTATCTAGTTTCACCACCTCCCAGATCTAAAAAAAATCCTCCGTCAAACAAACATTCCTTCCTTCTTTCCCCCCAAAAACGATGTCGTCGGCGGTCTCGAGCACCAGCTCTCCTCCCCAGCCGCCGCCGCTGCGGTCGCTGCCGGGATCCCACGGGTGGCCGGTGGTGGGGCCGATGTGGGACAAGCTGAACTACTTCTGGTTCCAGGGCCCCGTCGAGTTCTACAAGAAGGGAATCGAGAAGAACAAGTCGACGGTGTTCCGCACCAACATCCCGCCGAGCTTCCCGCTGTTCGTGAGCGTGAACCCCAAGGTGGTGGCGCTGCTGGACACGACGTCGTACTCCCACATGTTCGACCCGGAGATCGCCGACAAGAGGGATACACTTCTGGGGGATTTCATGCCCAGCTTGGGATACACCGGCGGCCAGAGGACCGTTCCTTATCTCGACACGGAGGAGACCAAACACACTCAGGTAATTGAGGGAACGAATTTCTCCCCCGGCCGCCTTGTTTTGGATTCTACTGCCCTAGTGGTTGGTGTGGGTGAGGTGTAGTTGTGCATTTTAAATGAATATAAATGCGGCCATAATTGGATTTTGGTTGGCAACTTTTGTTTGTCTCGCCGACAGCGTTATCGGTTATAAAACTAGTGGGAATATTTTGGTATAATCGGAATGATCGATTTTTTATTTAAAATAAATAGTGATGTTGTTTCGGTGATTGAAATATCTCGGTATAATCGAGATGATTGATTTTCAATTTCTAAACAAAATTATGCCGTTTTGATGAATTTAATTAAAACATATTTATGAATGGTTTATTGAATTTGAAGGTTAAATGTTGATATTTTTAGTCGTAGAGTAGTTCATGGCGTAGCATTGGAACTGCTATGTAAGCTTTTGTTTACCGACCGTGAATTAAGTATGAATATTTTAGATATTTATGTTATTTGTTGAATTCAAATATAAATGTTTGATTATAAAAATAATGTTTGGAGGTTAAATGTTGTCAACCTCTTGATCTTGATGGTATAAAATCCCACAATACAAGATACAATATATAACGCCAAATTAATAAAAAAAATATATTGTATTAAATATGTGAGATTTTATATTTTGTTTGGTATGTTGTAGTTAATTAAAATATGAATCTAGATTTTAGAGATATTGTTTTTAAATATGTTTTATGTGACTAAATTCTTCTCTACATGATTTACTAACTGACATTTACATGTTTTGCTAAAACCGGCTTGAATGATTATATCACCTGTCGAATCATATATCATTTGCCAAACCAGTACAATTATATAAAACAATCTTGACAAAAAGTCTCTTCTATGATCTGCACTATAGTACTCTGCTCCAGAAATGAGCTTCAAAACTTGGATCTAATTAATGACTCATGTCATGGATTTTCCTTAAAATTGCATTGCAGATCAAAAGGTTCGGGCTGGATATCCTGAAGCGGGGCTCCAAGGTCTGGGTATCGGAGCTCCAGATCAACCTGGAGGAAATGTGGTCCACCGTGGAAGCCGAGGTGTCGGCCAAAGGCAGCGCCAACTTCGTCAACCCGCTCAAGCAGAACATGTTCAAGTTCATCAACAAGTCCTGCCTCGGAGCCGACGTCTCCAAGTCGCCGGACATCGCGAAATCAGGGATGTCGTACATCGACCGGTGGTTCTTCCTCATGGTCTTTCCGACGATCAACATCAACGTCGTCCAACCCCTCGAGGAAATCTTCCTCCACTCCTTCGCTTACCCTCCTTTCCTCGTCCGCGGCGGATACAACAAGCTCATTGACTTCATCAAGACCGAAGGTACGAGTATGAACATTTCCAATGCGTCAAATGTCATAAATCAGTTGATGTCAATAACTTGAGTTGTTGGAAGAGATTCAATAATAAATCTTATACCATTCACTAATATTAAAAGCTTAATGTTTATATTAATTTAACTTTTTCTTTGTGTCACGACAATTCCAGCACGTGAAGTGGTCCAGCGTGGCATGACCGAGTACGGACTGACCGAGGAAGAAACGGTCCACAACCTGTTCTTCATGTTCTACTTCAACTGCCTGGAAGGGTTCAACCTCTTGCTCCCCGATATATTGGGCCGGCTGTTCACCGACAAAACCGGCCTGCAAGACCGCCTCCGGGCCGAAGCCAGGCAGAACGGTGGGCCGGACCTGACTTTCGACGCGGTGAAGCAGATGCCCAACATACGGTCCCTAGTCTGGGAGACCCTCCGGTTCAAGCCGCCGGTCCCGACCCAGTACTCCCGGGCCAGGAAGGACTTCAGGCTCAGCTCGCACGACGCGTCGTTCGAGATCAAGAAGGGCGAGCTGCTGTGCGGCTACCTGCCGCTGGTGATGCGTGACCCGGTGATATTCAACGACCCGGATACGTTCCAACCGGACCGGTTCGTGGGCGAGAAGGGAACCGAGCTGTTGAAGTACTTGTACTGGTCGAACGGACCGGAGACCGGTGATCCAACCGCGACGAACAAGCAGTGCATGGGGAAGGACTACGTGACGCTCTCCGCGTCGATGCTCGTGGCCTACTTGCTGCGACGATACGATTCGATCAGCGGGGACTTCACGACGATCACGGCCCTTGGTGTGGCTAAGTGATGAGATATTGAAGTGATGGGTTTGATGCTGACGGTTGTGATTGTAAGTTTGAATTCATTTTTTCTTTAATTTTCATGTTTGTTCTTGTGTTGTTGTGGCCTGTGGGCAATAATGGAAGGCCAGATATATATATGGCTTTGGAGACTGATCAAGTCGAGTCGTTTCTACTGTATTGAACCGGTTAGGATTGATGGTCTTGTGTTGTAAATTGTAATTGTGAGGCTCAGCGCCATGAGTTCTTTTGGATTGTGTATTTCTAGCTAATCATCACTTATTACCAAGGATTGAACAATATATTATACAACAACACAGATAACAGAATCAAATTCCAATAAGATTTCCAAGTGGGAATGTGTTCAACAAGACAGCTGCTGAATACAAATCTCAGGGCCTTTCAAATTCGTGCTTCAAAAGGGCTTCCTAAATCCAGGTGTATCTACACATTATCACTATCAAAACCATGAGTGGTAGTAGTATTATAATCGTAAGTGGACATCACCCTGTACCAGATGATAGCGATGGCTCCTTACGCAGATTGGACGCTGCTTCCCTGAGTCTTGGTGGCGGCTCCTTCTTTCCATCCCTTCTGGCGCGCTCTTGTCTCCCACAATGCTGTCAGTTTCTTCTGTGCTACTAATGAGGCTTCGGCTTTCTCTCTCGCTTCTTCGCATGTTTCCATCCCTGAATTGCACTTGTCTGCTTCCTTTTGGTACTGGGATGTGATCTTCTTAGCCTCCAGCAGGGCCATACCAGCACGCTGCTGACTCTCCAATGCTTCGGTCTCCCGCAGCTTTAGTTCCTCTGTCAGCAGCTCGGAGAAGTTCTTCTCGGCGTCTTCACTCACCTCAGGGTCGTGCTTCACGCAATCTACGACTCAAAAACCAGTACATCCATTTATGGTTAGTTTCTTGTTGCCATAAGGATTTGGCGATTCTGCATACCAGCATGTGTAGAGCAGATGCTCGCCGTTGACTTAAGAAAGAATTTGATGGATCTCCAGAAGAAGGAAACAACCAACACAAGTATAGAAAGCTAATGGGGAAAGCCCCTTTGTTTTTTGTTAAACTCAAGGATTTGCAGATTTGCAAATACTCCAAGAAGAAACAGGAATCTTAATCGTTTGCAAAGAAACTAGTCATTGATTAATGAACGAAAGTGGCAAAGAAAAAGAATAGAACACGTTAATATGACCTGTCTAAAGCAGGATGGGGAAATGAAGATACTATGAGATGCCATCAGGAGGAAGAAAGAAACTGAATACAAAATTTCTTCTCAAAAATAACTTGGGAATGAAAGTAGAAGGAAGAGCATATATCGAGCTAATGAACGATACTAGTCTATCAGCAGGTTCAACAGCACAGCACAAACTGCAAGCCTGCTGTAGGCATGACTTTATTCGTGATGCTGAGTATACTAGGTTTTGCATTAAACTGTTCAGGAAATCCAAAAAATGTCATTGCACTAATCCCACATAAGGTCATCAGCCTTTCTTCCACGTTTATGCCCATTCATGTCCATACCGAAACCGACTAATTTTGATCACCAGATATTAATATGAACTCAAGTTGGTGATAGAGGATGAAACTAACCTGCAAAAGTGGCATTGCTCAATTCTGCATCAAGAGAAGACAGCAAAAAAACAGCAAGTTTAAGTGAATTTATCTTAAACCGTTGAACAAAGAAGAAAAAACTAAGATAGTTTACCATTCAGTGAAAACACACCAGCAACCACATATATAAGCAATTGCCAATTCATCATCAACTATGAAATAACTACAGGAATCAATCAAATTTGGCAGGGACAAGTGAAGTAGAGATCCTGAATTGACTTCCATTAGTACACAAGTCACATAATCAGAGTTTCCACACACAAAAAGGATCACACATAGATACCGTCAATAAAAACTTCACATTGACATCCCATTTTGTCGTAAACTTGAATATACTGGAATCAAAGACTTCAGCAAACACTAGAAATGCCAATCCAAAATCGTCCAAGATCTAGAATTTCACAATTCTATGTACACTTCACATATCAAATTCAGTTCTCAATTCTGAAAATGGCAGACCCAGATCTACGAATTGGAAAAATGAAAGATTTTGAAAACCTGGGAAATTTCGATTTGAGGGAACTGACCTTGAGGGATGGCGAGAAGAGGCTGAGTGGAGCAATCGCAGAGGCAAGGAGGGCAAGTGGGAGAAGAAGAAGAATGACTGACAGCAGCTAAACCTTCCCTGAAGTGCCAGTATAAAGGCGGACCCAGTAAGTAACCGGCCAAGCACAATCCCATTAGCCCCAGAGCCAGCTTCACCACCGCCGCCTGGTTCGCCGCCATGATTTTGCAGGGAACCTTTCACTCTTTCTTTTCGCGCTCCAAGGTTCCCCCCTCTTTCAGATCGCGGAAAAGGGCTAGATTCAGCAAACTGAGTAATGAATTGTGGAATGGGATCACGGCTGAATAAGAAATAAATTGACGATCTTTGAGAAAGTAGAGGAGATTTGAGGAATATGAACGAACAGTGGACTTGTGCCCTTCTTTCTGTCGGTGATTTCACTTTGGCCTTATTTCACTGCAATTCCCAACTTCCCCCTTTCAGATCATGAATCGTGAAAGTCGAAATTTCAACATTATGAAATTGGCAATTTTTTTATTTTTTTTTTTTGGTAGAATGAAATTGGCATTTTGTTATGACGCAACAAACAGAAATGGCAATTTAGCAACCAAAAAAAAAAAAGTTGCCTCGCATACTAAAAAAATATTTATCATTATTATTTTTTCACAAAAAATCACTTGCATTATAAAAAATAAGCAGAAATAAAGTTCAGAATTCCGAAAAGAAGCAAGATATGACATTCTTAGCTATTTTATGGGTTATCTTATTGTTCTGTCTACCTACAAATTTTACCTTCATATTCTGGAAATCCTCAAATAATCGACGAAGCTCCTGATAAATGGCTCCCCCTCTGCAATCCCATATTGAATATTGATCCATGATTCACTTTATCAATGACCACCAGCATCACCTTCAAATATAATTCATTGGAATCTCTCCTGCAGGCACCATCGTACCACATCCCTCAATGCAACCAGCTCCACAAGCAATGGCTCATGTGACCCTCAAAGACAATGCCCTTAGCCAGAACCACCGCTTATGTTGCATCACGAATGGCCATGTCAGATGTGAAATAAGATCCACTATAAACATCTCCATCAAAAGAACACAATATCTATACCAAACTTCCACTAGGAATTCTAGTATCATCTTGTCTAGAACCCTAAGGCTTGCCCCCAAAATCTCTCTCCGGAAGGTGCAACGACTCAGCCATGATATACCTCAAATAGTCTGATCAACGGACAAAAAAGAAATTTGTTTACCTTCAAATACCACCTAATTCCTTCCTTCCATATGAACCAGAGAACATCAACCATCGTTACCACCCTCTATCGCGACGAATCCCGCTCAAGAAAATGGCTCTATCGTGTTGAAAACAGGCCGTCTCCAAAAAAAGCAACAACCACTAGACAGAATAACAAAAGGTGTTCCAAAGATTCCTCTACTGCCCAACACACAAGATAAAGTGCAAGAAGTATAACTTCCTTGATGCGCAATGCCTCTATAGTAGGGAGAACCCGACAACAAACCTGCTAGAGGAAAATTTTAAGCTTTCGCTGGACTGGGAGTTCCCAAATCTTCATCCACAACTTTTGATCTGCAAGACCCGCCCTCCTAGTTCAAGCGACCCACCTGCCTACTTAAACGAGTAGCCAATCTATACCTCAATTTAATTATGCACTCACTAGAGGCATCCACAAACCATACCAATCTATCTCGTATAGGTGCGATATGCAATGAGATCGTTTGAAATGTCTCAACTGTTTTGCCGTCAAACAGGCCACCAGAAAGTCTGGTTACCATTTCCCACTTTCACGATCCATAAAAGCATATACTAGCTCAGTCCCCATAAGGGGCAACTATGGTAGAATCTCTTGCATTGGCGGAGACCCAAGTGACAACCAATTGTTTGACAACACCAAAATGGTCTCCTCTAACCTACTTGCTATCATGAACCCTTCTGAAGCATCTCACATCGTGTTTCGCCATCACATCATGATCGAGAACCATCACCCTCTGCTAAAAGTGAGCCATTTGAGAAATACAAGCCCCTATAGATCATTCTAGCTCATCCATAATCCTCTATGCCACTTTAACCAACAAAGCCTGTTAAACACAACAAAGAGTCTCCTTACCTTCCGAGTAACCCCACAAAACCCTCCTCTTCTGCTTATCCAATCGAAAAAGAGTTAATAGTAATATAAAGCATTGCATCATATGTATCAGCACGAGAACTACTACAGTCTTGAGTAAAACTTCCCTTGTCGTCCACGAGAGATGTCGTTATTTCCATCCTTGAAGCTTCTGGAGGAACTTCTCCTCCAGATACCGGAAAGCATCTGCTAACCAACTTGCCGATTTGTTCACTAAGCCCTTCACTCGCTCTCGAAATTGGTTCATCTCTAGCAAATTGATGCTTCATGATCATCATAAATTCGGTGGAGGTTGTTAATGAGCCCAGCTTGTGATCCAATTGTCGTACTTAGTGTAATACCTTACCCTGTATTCTTGGCCCTAATGTTTCCATTGACCAATTTATGCTTGGTTTACCTACAATCTTTAAATGAAGCGCATAGAAAATGAAGTTGTATTCAAAACCGGTATTTTCTATAACTTTTGCTTGCAAAAACTTTACGTATTATCTAGCTTTTAATTGAAATATTTGTGGAGAGTTCAGTTCCACCACCCACCTCTTAGCCATTCTGCCGACATTACTCATCCTTCTCGCTCTATTAATGCCTTTCTAATCCTGTGAGGGAAAAATATTGACGGGGTGAGACGTCACTCATTGAGTAAATAATAACCTAATATAACTATTAATGCAAAAAATTATATCAGGCTATATTTTGACTCGTAGTATCTTCCGTCCATTATACTCGATGTATATTTAATTACTTAATAACTTTACTTAGGTCTCACCTATGTAGATTTATACGGAATTTTTTCCCTCGATCATTCGATCTTTCACATATAAATTATGGTTTATTCATTCGAGCTTTTACATATATGTCATGCATGATTCGTTTAGGTTTTCACCTTTACTTTACCCTACCTGGTGTTGCACATAGTTCATATTTATTCTTATATATACCATACGGAATTTTCATCATATCTTTACTCTTCTATTAACACCACATCATGAGAGGTATTATAGACACATAATATTATACACGTCAACATCTCATGTTAGTATCATAATTAAATGAACATATCATCACTGCTTATATAAGAGTTTTCTGATTATTCATTGTACCACTCGTCATAGGAGATTATCACAAAATATACCTCATGTCACTTGATATCACATATAGATGGACCTTCACATATTGCATGTAAGGGTTCACATTCTATATATCATGGCAAATACCAAGATTGCCATCTCAGTCACATATCACACAAATATGGCAAATAATAAGATTGACATTCAAGTATCCACGTTGCATCCAAAATTAACCATGTATTAGCATCTAATCACACACATGCATACATATAGTTAGTTGGATTCAATAGCTTTTATTCTTTAATTTTCCAAGTCATTCACTTCCTGGGATCTCGTGAACTCGTAATCTCGTATGCACAAAGTGCTAGATCTCATAAACTCGTGAACTCGTGGGAACAAAGTGTCATATCTCATGAACTCGTAAACTCGTTGGCCACAGGGTGCCATATCTCATAAACTCGTAGCCAAGCCTGTCATTGCTCCTTAAAAGGAGTTCCCGTATAGCTCTTTTATCTCTTAGGCTTGAAGCCTCTTTTCACTTATAATCAGTGCGTGACAGGACGCCATTACGTTTACGTTAGGTGACCATGCAATTCTTATAGTTAGTCACAACTCAAGTACTCAACATCTCACTAGCGTGACCTAGGGGCTATTTCATATCACATTCGCATGCATGACTCATAGGCCATTTTATCTCATCTCGTATAATTGACAATAGGCAACATTTCTTGCCATTCTTTCACTTAACAGCCTCACATGGCATTTCACGTATCATATACTCAT